TTCTTCATCCTCTACAACCAACACTGTCACTCTTGCTAATGGTTTCACTTCTTCCATAAGTGGTATTGGTGATGTTAAAATTGGTTCATTATCTTTGTCTTCAATTCTGTATGTACCCAAATTTACTTTTAATCTTATGTCTATTAGTAAATTGACCAAGTCTCTTAATTGCTCTATCACTTTTTACCCTTCATCTTGTGTATTTCAAGGTCTCAAGATGGGGGATGAAGATTGGTGGAGGGCATGAAGCTAGTGGACTGTATTACCTTGATGGTGGTGGGGGTGGTTCTTCAACAGCTCTTTAGTCGTCTCTCACCCCCCTCTCCAGTGGCATTGCAAACTTGGGCACTCGTCTCTTAAAGCACTTAAACAACTCGTTCCAGCATTGAGTCATCTTTTTACTTTGGATTGTGAGTCGTGTTAGTATGGGAAATATCATCGGGTTTCCTTCAGTCCTAGAGTCGATTATTGTATGTCGAGTCCTTTTTCTTTGGTCCATTCGGACATTTGGGGTCCAAATAAAGTAGTGTCACACAATGGATACAAGTACTTTGTTATTTTTGCTGACGATTATTCAAGGATGACATGGCTTTATCTTATGAAAGAAAGAAGTGAATTATTTTCTATTTTCCAAAAATTTCATGCTGAAATCTACACTCAATTTGGTGTTCACATTAAGATCCTATGTTCAGATAATGGCAGAGAATACTTTTATACACCCTTTTAGCAATATTTAGAACAACATGGTATTATTTATCAAACCTCTTGCTCTTATACCCCCCAACAAAATGGGGTAGCCAAACGGAAAAATCGCCATCTCTTAGAAACCACTCGATCCCTATTGCACCATATGAATGTACCTAAGCGCTTCTAGAGTGATGTTGTGCTTACATCTTGCTTTCTTATTAACAGAATGCCTATGTCCATCCTTGATGGTCAGTCTCCCTTCACTGTTCTGTTTCCTACATTGTCTCCTTTTCCTCTTACTCCTCGGGTTTTTGGGTGTGTGTGCTTTATTCATAATTTGGTCCCGAACTAGACAAACTAGATGCACGATCTACGAAGTGTCTTTCTTGGTTATTTTAGGACCCAGAAATGGTATAAGTGTTACAATCCCGATTCTCGACGTTGTTTTATGTGTCCCGATGTTACCTTCTTTGAGTCGGTTCTGTTCTTTTCTGGCTCAGATGTCTCTTCCCCTTCTTCTTTCCTCCTGCTTCTAGTTCCTGTCGCAAACTCAATTCCTCTTGTTCCAGCTACGCCTAAGCCTTCACTTCCGGTGCCACTTCCTCTTGCATGGCCACCTATCCATCAAGTGTATACGCATCGACATGCACTGGCCCCTCCAACTTCTTCACTATCAATGGATCCAGAAGTGATTTCCGCGGCACCATCACCCCTCGTTTCTGACTTTGACGTTCTCATTGCCCTGCGGAAAGGTAAACGTAGTTGTACCCTTCATACTATCTCCAATTATGTTTCTGTTTCTCACCTATCTCCTTCCCATCAACAATTTATTTCGTTGTTTTCTTTTGTTTCTGATCCTAAGGATGTCCAAAAAGCCCTTATCTCTCCAAGTTGGCGTCAGGCGATGGAAGAAGAACTCTCCACTCTAGCTCATAATCATACATGGGATCCCACCACTCTTCCCCCGGGTAAGCATGCTATAGGATGTAAGTAGGTATATACGGTCAAGTATTTGCCTAATGGTAGTGTTGAAAGATTGAAAGCTCAATTGGTTGCCAAGGGTTATTCACAATTATATGGTATTGACTACACAGAGACCTTCTCTCCTATTGCCATGATTGGTTCTGTTCGTGTTTTGATCTCCCTAACTGCTATACATGATTGGCCCTTGTTTCAGCTTGATAATAAGAACGCCTTTTTGCATGGTGATCTTCTTGAAGAGGTGTATATGAAGCAACCACTCGGATTTGTTGCTCAGGGGGAGGATGGTAAGGTGTGTAGACTCAAGAAAGCTATTTATGGACTTAAACAGTCCCCTTGTGCTTGGTTTGGCAGATTCAATGAAATTGTAAAGAAGTTTGGCATGAAACAGTGTCATGTTGGTCATTCAGTATTCAGCTATAACTCTGATGCGGAGAAGATTTTGTTAGTGGTTTATATTGATGATCATTTTCAAACGAAAGGCCTTGGCAAATTGAAATACTTCTTAGGGATAGAAGTGGCAAGGTCCAAGTATGGTATTAATTTGTGCCAGAGGAAATATGTACTTGATCTATTGGAGGAGACAGGCTTATTGGGTGCCAAACCAGTGGAAACACCCATGGAATTGAATGTCAAGTTGAGCAGTGATACAGGTGAGGAGTTTGAAGATCTAGGAAGGTACAGAAGGTTGGTGGGCAAGCTAAACTATCTAATTATCACTCGGCCAGATATCTCATTTGTAGTGAGTGTGGTGAGTCAATTTATGCAGAATCCTCGAGTTCCACATTGGGACGCAATCCTAAGGATTGTAAGGTATTTGAAGGGAGCTCCCAGTCGTGGCTTGCTATATAAGAGTGGTGGAAATATTGAAATAGAGGGATATACAGATGTTGATTGGGTTGGATCTATATCTGACATACTATAGGTTATTATACTTTCCTTGGGGGTAACTTGGTGACATGGAAGAGCAAGAAGCAGACCGTGGTGGCAAGAAGTAGTGCAAAAGCTGTATACAGAGCCATGGCACATACAACTTGTTAACTAGTGTGGCTGAGAAATCTCTTACAAGAGATGGGGTACTTGATTACCACTCCGATGAAGCTATATTGTGACAACCAAGCTGCAGTTCACATCTCCTCTAACCCAGTTTTTCATGAGAGAACAAAACACATAGAGGTTGATTGTCACTTTGTGAGAGAAAAGGTTCTTAGAAGAATGATAAGTACATCATATGTTAATACAGGGAGTCAATGGGCAAACTTGTTCACCAAAGGGTTGAGTCGGGCAAGAGTGGGTTACATATGTAACAAGCTGAGACTATATGATATATACTCTCCAGCTTGAGGGGGAGTGTTAGTGTCAAGTGAATAAGGGTAGAATAGTCAATTAAGTTTTATTAATATGGTGTTATGTCTTTTAGTGAGTGCTGATGTGTCCCAACTTAAATAGGAGCATAAAAGTCTTTTTCTATTCATTTTAGTAGTCTATATATCCTGGCCAACCTAAGAGAGAATGAGAACGATTCTCTTCTCTTGGGTTCGAACAGGTTTTTCTTCTTCTTCGATTTCTCCTCTTCTTCTCTCCCTCTCTCTCTCTTTTACTTCTTTTCTACATCAAGTTAAGATCTGAAACTGAAGTCGTCACATAGAGGAATGCAGGTACATATTAATGGGTAGATTGTTGAGCTGAAGGAGGATCAGCCTGAATAGAAGACTTCATGTAGAGAGAATGCCAATGTAATGTCTTGGCTTCTCTATTCTATGACACCTAAGATTGCTGGGACAATGCAACACTACAGCACAACTTTATATGGGATAAACTTTTGAAGACCTACAGAGAGAGGAAAAACTTTACATGAATTTTAGGCTGAATAAAAACATTGCAGCCATGAATCAAGGAGAAACTCACTGTGGCCACATATTTTGCAACACTTGAGGTCCTCTGGGAGGAACTTGGTCATCATTTGATATTGGGCTAGGAAAGCACCAAGGATATAGAAAAACATGATAAACAACTTGAAGGAAGAATTTTCAAATTTCTTGCAGGGATGAATCTATCATATGATAGCATTCACTCCCAAATCATAGGGAAGGGAGTGATGAGCTACCTGACCTTTGGCATGCTTTTTACTTATCAGGAATGAAGAATTGAGGAGAAAAGAGATGGGAAGTGAGATTCAGTTTCAGCTCACTGAATAACCAGTTCTTTTATCAGCTTCAAGTAAAGGAAGTAAGGGTGGAGACAACGAACATTTGAAGTGTATTCATTGTGGAGGAGAAAAACATACAAAAGATATGTGCTAGATTCTGTATTCAATCTAGTTGCCTCAAGGAAGGTTAGGAAGCCATATAAAAGTTCTAGTGGTGTTGGTCATGTTTCCAGTTCAAATGTAACTGAAGGTGGTAAAAGAAATTGCTACTCCAAGTGCTTCACCCATTTGGGACAAACCACTACTCCTAACCCTAGCTTTCCTGACTTTACTACTGAGGTAGATCTTCTCAATCAGCTATGGATCAATAATCAATTGAAACAGTCTTCATTTGCTTCTTCTTCATTTTCTAAGACAAGTGTAGGTTCTGCCTTCAATGTCATTCATTCTTCTTCCTCTTTCCCCTGGGTGATTGACCCAAGATCTTTGGGGCATATGACTAGTGTGTCTTCATTGTTCTCATCGTATCATCTTTCTTCTAGTCAAGACAAAGTAAAAAATTGTTGATGTGTCTCTTTTACCCTTCTAATCAAGGTAACTTAGGATGACTACAAGTCCACAATGTAGACAAAGATGGCCAATGACCAAATATTTGAGATTGGTCACTCTCTGTCACTCCAAAAAAAAAAGAGTCATAGGATCAAAGTCATGGAATTGCAGGCTCTTTGCGGTATGGCCAATGGGCCTTACGTGCACCCTTCTCTGTCCTCCCACTCCTGAGTCATCACTAATTTATACTATGTAATAACAAATAAGAAAAAAGAAAGTAGATAAAGATGGTTTGAATATGTGGAATAAAAACCATCTGATGCACTCGTTAGAAGAATTGACTTGGAGCAGATTGAATAATCTTAGTTGAAGTCTTGCCAGATAATCTACTAATAAAACATATGGCCTTAGTGCGGAATGGAATAACATTGTATCTGCTGCGGCCAACGCAATTAGAATGATGATGATGATGTCAGAATTTCAGTGATTCATTATGACTAATGCACAAATTGACTTATATCCTTAAAATAGATGATAACCGGTATGGGAGACTCTCAGGGAACTACGAGACAGTAAATGGATATTCATAAAATAACATAAAAACAAACTAAGGAAATTAGAACTTTTGTTTTACAATCTTCTCAACCGGCTTAGGTTTCCAAGTTTTGGAGGAAGTTTTCCTCCGAGCTGGTTATCTTCCAAAATCCTGCAAAAACCAGTTTGAATCAGAAAAACAGATGGCACTCCCTGCATAATTTACCGAGAGTATTAAGCCATGACTCACAGCTCCTCCAGCGTTTCAATATTGCCAAGAGCCTCTGGAATTGATCCGCTAATGCGATTTCCCAAAAGAGATCTGCGATGCACAATGATGTTTGTAAGGAAATGCCATTAAATGATTCTTTTAGAACCATATAATGACGAAGAATAAGAGTTCTTACATGGTGACGAGAGGGATCCGGGCCCAACTCACGGGAATGGATCCATTGATATAATTGAGAACTAAATCTCTGTTTTTAAGAAGAAGAAGAAAAAAGATCAGCCAGGCCAGAACCAGAAATCTTTCACAATTTCCGCGCGCTCTGTGCGGACTGCGGAGCCCATCTAAACATCTCCAAACTGGAGTAAACTGTGAGACGGTTGTTACTAGGCCCCACGGGCCACGGTCAAGCTAGGGTACCGAAAAGATACATGCAGTACCTGAAATATTGAGAACCAATGGACGAATGAATTCGGATTGGGTTTAGACTATGATATGGAAAAGATATCATATCTGAAAAACTTCTAAACGTGGTAGCCAGTCAGGTGTTATTTATCAAAATTGATGGGTGGTTTTGATTGGTCAAAACTCTTTCCATACCATATCTTTTCCCTATCATAGATTTTTCCATTCGGATTTCATTCTCATACCGTTTTTAGTTTTTACAGCCCTTGCAGCTAAAATTGACTCACAACAAGTCAATGCTAAATGCAAATTGGGATATGCTTCTCATAGACGCACCTCACACCGACCTTACAACACATTTCAGCCGTGCATATAGAACATCTCTCCATGGATAAAAAATTACAAGCTCGGAAATGTTTTAGATTTACGGCCAAAACAACAATGTGCAGTGAGGTTGGTGTGAAGCATGCTCTATAAAGAGCAGAAGGGATTATGAGTATGGACTTGTGTGAACATTGAAGTCAATTTCTCTTCCATTGAGGAATAAATATCACATCTTCGCCCCACAATGCCCTACAGCACATCCCTGCCATGTATTAGGAACATCTCTCAATGACAATGATAACATTATCGGTTCTGATACTATCGTTGGGATGTTCCCAATACATGGCGGGGATGTGCTGTAGGGCGGAGATGTGATCTCTTGAGAATATTTCCTTGTATGACTTTTTTCACGATGAGATATTCTCAATGTAAGCCTATAGTTTTACAATTTTGCATTGGGAATATCTCATCATGAAATAAAATACATAAGTATAGAAATAATCTCAATACAAAACAGTAAAAGCTATTGGAATAGGCATCACATTGACCAAAGCCAAGCTCTAATACAAAGCTGCAAAAGACTGTGCGAATAGTGTGAGCACAATCTTATGAGCATTGAAGTCCATCTTGTATCTGCACCTGTACATTAGTAGGAAGATATTTTTAATGCACGATTGCAGTTGCGGGCTGTGAGGACTAATTTTGTGATTACGAAATCCCAATTCCCAATGAATATTCATCTCAATAGTAACTATAGACTTGATAGGTTGGTATTGGGTTTGTAATTGATTAAGTTATTTACCTTGATAGACTTTTTTTATGGGAAATTGTCTAAAACTCACCATGAGTTTTCAATATTTCTCTTAAACTCACCAGTCACCACAACTTTTCAAAATGTCAAAAACTCACCATGTCACTAACTTTGACGTTAAACAGACTAACGGGTGTTAATATATTACCATTTTAACCTTTATAGAAAAATATAAAATATATACAAAATAAATCAATGGGTGTTAATGTATTACCATTTTAATATTTAGACATGAAAAAAGGAAAAAAGTTCAAAAAAATGTTTTCAAATATAAAATACATAAAAACATATAAATTACAAAAAATATAAAAAAATTAATAGAAATTTCAAACAAAATAAAAAATTATTTTCAAATTATAGAAACTATAGAAATTGAAAAACAAAACCAGAAAATAAAAATTGCAGAAAAAAAACACCAAAAATTATGGAAAAACACAGAAATTGTAAATAAATAACAATAATACAGGAAATTTTATAGATTGTAGAAAATAGACAAATGTAAAAAAAAAACAGAAATTATAAAAAACATTGGAAATTATAATAAAACACTAAAAATGCAAAAAAAAAGAAAATTAAAAACTGAAAAGACCATTTTTTTCTCTAATTCACCATTCAAGGGTAATTTAGTCATGAAAATTGTTATTTATGCTGACATGGACACCTCTGTTAAAAAGCATTAACAGTGCACTAATGGAAGGTGAGTTTTGGAAAATAAAAATTTATTGACATGATGAATTTTAGACATTTTAAAAATTATGGTGAATTTAAAAGAAATATTGAAAACGCATGGTGGATTTTAGACTATTTCCCCTTTTTTTACCTCATTCATGGTAAGGATTACACACACAATTCAAAACACACAAAGGACTCAAGTAATTGGCCCAAAGGTAAAAATGGAAATAAATTAAACAAACAATCAACTTATCGAGAAATTAATAAATGCAAAAGAACATGAATAACGGAAATTATCTTATTTAAACAGATAAATTTTCTAATAAAAGAACTCGGATAAGTGTGCTCCTGTTTAAATAACAAGCCTTTGTGAAATGTCAATGACTTACATCTCTGTCAAATATGGAAGATCCCCAAATTCTTCAGGTAGAACTCCGGTTAAGTTCAAACTCTTTAACTGGCTGAAATGTACAAGGAAGAAAATATAAAAAAAATATTATTATTATTAAACAAAAAACGTGACAATATACAAGGGATGTGTGGATGGGAAATAAAGAGGGGCTAGCCCCTTCCCCAAACCCCCTGTGGGATTTCAATCTCGAATCCTCACTACAAATCTACAGAGATCATTACATCAGCGCCAGCTTGCATTGCCAAATGGAAACATCTTATGTGATATTTTCAATACACGAGTGGGATATGATATGGGGCAGTGTGAGCGCCGATTTGAACTCAAATCTACAAGCCAATTAGTCAAATGACCTTAAACCGGTTGATAGGACGTTCAAAGCTAAAATATGTAACTGTGGATTGTGATATTTGATTGAGCTGATGTTTCTTTTTTTTTTCTTTTATTTTGTCAAGCATTATTTAATATGACCATGTTAGAGATGTCAATAGGTCAAATCTGACAAGGTGGACCATTCTCAAACTAATTATTAATAAATTCTATAAAATAGACCCAAAACCGAGCGGGTTATTAATGGGTGTTTGGTTCTGTTTATGTTTATTCAATAAATGTTTATTGGTGGTGTCACATAGGCGTTATCTCAACATTTTCTCTCTCTTGCTCTTTTGCATGCATAGAAAATGTAAAAAGTGAATTTTGGTTTTTGTGCATACCAATCGTTTGTGGAAATTATTTTTTAAAACTTCCACAAATAATCAAACATTTATTCATTGTTATAATGATGTGGTGCCTGATTGTCATAAATGGTTGCAATTATTGCATTTCTCGATTTTACCAGCAAATAAACTACAAATGTTTATTCAATAAACATAAACGGAACCAAACACATACAAAGTCTGACCAGATGATGAGACCTAATTATACTTAAATGGGCATTTTCATGGTTTAATCCTTCATAGTAACGTAAGTTTAATGGAGTTGAACTTAAATGGGCATTTTTTTTTTTAAATTCAGGTATTACAATGGCACATTTGAAAGTTCAGGCCCTAAAATGAAACTATTCCTATGAAGTACTTGTATGCAATTTACTTTATTAATTAATAAAATAATCAAACTACAAAGGTTGGTCTAATCCAACTATCCAAGTATGATCAGGACACAAAACTAAGAACCAATCAGTTCAAATGGTTTGGTTCTATCATGTGGACCCAACCCATTGACAACTCTAGGCACTAGTTCATGTGGAACCATTTGATGATGGGTCTCCATATTCTTTAGTTGAATACCTAGAAACTGCCATGGCATGTTAGCATGCCTCTACAAAAGTTTCTCATGTAGGGGTAGATGGTGTCCAGGGATACATCAGTTGGGTCCCACTTCATTACCTAATATGAATTCCCCACTCCCACGCTCCCTTCTCCCATCTATTTGTCATCGGTGGATGTTCCCAATACAAGGTTGGGATGTGCTATGGGGCGTTGAATTCAACTGGAGCTCATATTAGCACCCCATAGGGGTGCCCCACATGCACATCTCAGTGTGCATTGGGAACATCTCCTGTACTTGTCATCAGGAGATGTTTTCAATACAAAGTTGGGATGTGACCCTACTCACATATCACTGCAGTTGTACATTGAGAACATTTCCTATATTTGTATGTTACCATTCATAAGAAGATATTCTCAGCATGCAACTCTACGTAGGTGTGGATAAGATTCTTATGGGTAGGAGATTTGGATTGTTCCATTTATAATTCTATTAAAGAAAAATATATTTTTTAGGATACAAAATCTTTAGTGGTATTTTTGAACCGTTGTTGACCTGGACAATCGGGTCGTTCGGCCAAGGAACCTTCCAAGCAACCAATTTCATTTCGACCCTAACCCATTCTTTTGCCAAAAATCATTGACTTGGGCGGTCAAACTATCGACCCGTTTGATTCAAACAACGATTTTGACCATTTTTTATTTTAATTATTTTTAAGTTTTTATTTTAGAACTAACTGTTTGTTTGAACCGAATGATCAAACCATTGACCTAGAAACCGATGGCCAAAGCAGTTATGATTTTGATTAGTTTTTAAAACATTGATATCTATGAAGATAAACACATCAATTTGATTTGTAGAGGAGGTCTTCTTTTCCTCTATCAAAACTTTCCTAAAATAATAATGATCTAGAGGTCAAAGATTTCCATATTATCATTTTAAGATATTATTGAAAACACCACAATTTTCTTTAAAAACAAAAAGAAAACAGCACAAGTAAACTAAAAACACAATTGTTGTGATTGTTTTTAACTTGTATATATGAAGCCTAATTTTAAAATTTCCCCTTTCCCCTCCCTTGGAATATGTGGGTAAAAAGCAGCATCACTACTCAAACCACCCGTGATCATCCTCAAAATTTGTGGAAGCATTACACTTGGATCTTAGTAGCCAAATAAATGCTTGTCAAATAAAGAACTAAAGAAGTTAACCATACAAAGTTAGATAGAATTTTTTTCATGATCTTGAGATGGTTGTCCATTGTTCTTTAAGGACAATCTTATTGTGTTCGGGTAGCAGGGCGCAGCTTGGTATTTGTTTATCTAATAAAGCAAGCAATTCCTAAGATGGTTTTTCATTCTGCAAATAAAAAAATAAAAAATTTCTTAAACTATCCCTTTAACTAATTAACTAATTCTACTATTATTATATTGTCTTGAAATACTTTTATTGTTTCTGAAAATTGACTAATTACCCCCTATTAGTAGGGTTCCACCTATCCGTCATAATCCACTGACATACCACATCACGTGACTGTTATATTTTGAAAAATGATAGTAACTTCACCCCGATGGTGCTTGTTGTCAGAAACGTGGGAGGTGTTGATACCTGCTGTTTGAACCTCAGGAGCGGGTGCTTGCTTCTATTCACCCCCGGCCTCGGTGCTTGCCGTCTGAAGCGTGAGGGTGTGCCAATGCTTGCCATTTAAAAATGGGTTGTGTTGGGTATATAAAAGATTTTTTTTTTCTTGTTTTTCTTTCCAACACCGTCCCTGCAAAAGAGGCTAAGTTCACTATTTATCTAGACTAGGGACAGACGATGGGTCACAACAACAATCTGTTCACCGATCACTGTCAGAGTCACAACAAACAGACGATGGGTCTTAGCAACAAAAGAGGCAGTCATTTCTCTGACGATTTGGTGCTGCCACATCAAACCAAGAAATCCTTAAACCTTGAACCCATTGATGCCTTCTACTTGGAAGCTTCAATAGCTCGTTCGTAGGTGGGGAAAGGAGAGGCGGCGGCCATTTCTCTGGTGAACCTTTTCCGATGTTGTTCCATTTACTCTATTTCTTAGGCGGACAATCAATCGGGTCTGGTTTCCTGCATTTGTTTTTTCCATTCTCCCGCATGGCCCAAATCTCCATAACCCATACAACACCATCAGAACTACTATTGGAACTGCCATCTCAGCCCTCGCCAAAGACCTTTGCAACACTGGTGGTATTATTGCTTTTCCCCATTGCTACAATTCATACAGCTCGAATCTCCACCGTCTACATGAAGATCGTCGTCTAGTTGTCTTAGGCTCATTTGATGTGTCTTTTTGGAAGATTTTCTGGTCGTTCTGATAGTCAAAAGATGCATTGAGCTTTTGCATAAAAATCTAAACAGGCTGAAGCACGTTTGACAGATATATGTCTTTTCGTGTCTTTTTCTACACGAGAATAAAATGCGAAAGCGAAAAACTTCATTTGGAACTTTCTAGAATTAACACAAAATGAGTTTTTTGCATCTTTTCAGCATTCTATCTTTTGGTGACTAGATCTTCCGCACGCTAAATGGAAATAGACTGAAAATTGATCTGCCCAACTTATAAATAGTCAAAAGACTGCACGGAAAGACAAATGGGCCCTATATTGGTTGTCCATCATTTAGAACCCTACACAGCTCAAAAATTGGAGAGACCCAATAGTCGATTTACCATATCTACAATTCTAAGAGAAGGAACGAACCCTAGATTTGGGGATCAAAGGGAGGAAGAAACCCTCCTTTTTTTCCCTTCACTCAGCAATGGAAGACACGACAATCTTGACTGCAAATCCAACCATTCTCTGACCACACCTTTCCATTCCATATCTTCCCATTCTAGAAATCATCCACCACTTGGGTTGTAGTGCACCAATGGCAGTTGTAGAATGGTATCATACATAGGGCTGCTTGATTTAAAGAAATACTATTTTTGTTGCATACCCTTTTCACATATGGAAATGGATACGTTAGTTGGTTTATCTGATTTATATTGGCTCATGGCCGTTAGGAAATGATTTGCAATGATTACAATTAGTGATTATCCATTCTCTCATCAACTCTAACGGTCTCTAGTAGTGCCTATTGGTTTTACATAAATACCCATGCCAGACCCGTACGCGTCAGCAGTAGTAAAGGTAGTAAGCTTTTCATCCCTTGGAACATTAAGGCTCGTAACACTTTTCTATGTCTTCACTTTTATTGGAGAGATTGACAGAGAAAAAAAAGCTTAGAGAGATTTATGAAAATTTTTATTAATTGAGTTTTATTTTGAAATTTTGAAGAATAATAAAGAAAAATTTTAATATTTTATTTTTTTCTGTTAGGATTTAATGATGAAGACAATTGTTAGAAATAATAGGAACATTTTAAAACAATATATAAACAATAAGAATAGAATTTGCCAATTATCTAAACAAATAGTTTAAAAAAAATCAATAGGAACTTAAAGTTTCAAGTTTCAAGAAACAAGTAAATAAGAAAGGGGAAGAGGCATTTGTACAAAAATAAAATAATAAGGGAGAGAAGTACCAATCAGCCCAGATCAGAATTTACCAGACCCAAAGTACAGGGGATGCATCCTGACCGTGAATTGATACCAAATTTATGGGCAGGATGTGGTATATAGAGGGGAGAGAATTCAGAATTTTGCATCGTGTGTATCGTGCGTATCAGTACTTTTTCGAAAATTTTTATGCCTAAAACCCTATATTTTTTAACCGTGTAAACCAGTTAGGGTGTATCCTATGGGAGAGAGAATTGATTTATTAGGTTAGTAAAGAATAGCGCTGAGAAAAGTCAATACGAAAAGATCCGTTTGGAATTGATGTACGTACATGTTTGTCACGTGGCAAACAGTCGATTGATTGAATGAACAGTTGCAGGTGACATTGCTGAGCATCGTAGGCGAATCAAAATTCCGATTGAGGTCCTTTTTAGTACAAGAATCTGGGCTGAGCTTCTTCCAATATGTGTTATTTAATTTTTCTGATATTTGACGAAGCGTCCTTACTGTCAAGAAGAGTCGACAGAAGACATCACTTAAAAGCATTGATGTATCTACTTAGAAAATATAAACAAATAAGCAAATAAAAAAAAATGAAGAAGATCTTTTAATTGCTTTTGAAAGTTTTGAAATGAAAATTCTTATTTCATTCGTTGTGACGTGTGAATCCAACTATTATTTTCTCCCCGTTGTGATGGTAATTTTTTCCCTTTCCTCGTGGGGATGTTGATCTCTACCTCATAGAATCCCCATTAATATATATTAATATATATGTATATGTCTATGTATACGTTATATATGTATATATATATATACATCTATATATTAATATTTTAAAAAATATGGTTGAATATGTTTGAATTTTTTCTACAAATTTTAATTATTTTTTATTTTTTAAATAAAATTAGAAAACAAAAATAAAATGATTAACATTATAAAAAATTAAGGGATGGGGATAACCTTATCTCCGTTAGCAAACACGGGAACGGGGATGGGAATGGAGATTTTCATAGAGACGGGGATGGGGAGAGCATCTCTGCCCCGTTGCCATTCCTACCCTCCCCTTTCATTCCCTCTCCCTACTGCATACTTTCTCCCTTGTAATTATGCTTATACTTTATAGTTGACATTTTCTCTTCTCTCATTATGTTTATACTTTATAGTTGACATTTTTCTATTTGAGGGAATGATAATTCTTCTTCTTCTTTGGGAATGAAATCTCATTTCTGCTTATTTCAATTTGACTTCAATTTTTGTTTGAACTAAACAAATTATGAGAATAGACCATTCTATTTCTAATTCGAATAGATTTTGATTTTGATTCCAACTATAAATCAAATGGACTCTTAGCTCAAAAAAATGATTGTGAAGGGAGGAGATGATCAACCAGAACAAGTGGCATGAATACCAACGGTAGAAAAAAGGGATTTAGAGGAGAAGATACAGGCAATAGTTTTCATTTAACATTTCCATTTTTACTAAAAGAAAGACCGAAGAAAGTTGTAAAGATTTCAAGCATTTAAAGTGGGAGCCCGTGTTTTGTGACTATATAGATGTCACTCCTTGAACGGGAGGACACTGAGATATGATGGAGGATCCCATTCCCTAAAGCACAAGGGATAGCTTTCTAAGGTGGATCTTATAAGGACAGCTTTAAGTTATGTTTGGAAAAAAATCCAATAGCCCAAATTGATTGTCACCTAGTTATTATTTGTGTTGTTTGCTTAGCCTCTTTAAATAACTTAGTAGGAGTGCCTCAAAGCATCTAATTAATTAGCTGTTCAGCTCAGCCCTCCCAAATAGACTCGAGAGTCAGTTTTTAATCAAGTTTTGTGTTGGATCAGGTTGACGTGAACTCATTCTAAACCAATCCATTGCCATTGCATATTGAAATTTAGGGTGAGTAAATGGGTCAATTTTATTTGGAATCAAATGGAACTAACCTTGAATTGGTCTCCAACTGGCTTTATCCAATCTATTACCAGATAGGATTTAGTTCCAAATTCTTCGAACCAACTCCCACCCATGTCAATTTGAGGGTTTAGAGGCAAGGGCAGAGATAGAGTGAAACTAGGGTTTCCATGATACCCCTATTTTCTCCCCCTACCCCCCCCCAAAAAAAAAAAAAAAAAAAAGAAAAAAAAAAAAAAAATTAACTGGATTTGCTTTAAAATAAATCCCATTTAAGGATATGAAGATTTGATTCCAAGCACTCATGATTATATATACAAAGACTATAGTCTCACTTAACCATTGTGTATAATAATTAATTTAAAATGTAATACTTACAAAGTTTAAATTGTAATGATAGTTTTGTAACTACATGTTAATATATTATAATAATCTAAAAATTCAATCAGTAAAGGTAACATAAGTTTAGATAGTAATAGTAGTTTTGAAAAACAGGTTTAATTCTTAATGTTATGGAATGTTTAGATAGTAAACATTTTCTGATTGTGATTGTTAATTAATCATATATATTGATAGTACCGTTATCAATAAATATCTATCTAGTTTGATTCTTAATGTATGGAATGTTTGTTTTTTTTTTTTAAGAAAAGGTTTTGTTTTTTTTTGTCTTTTTTTTTTAATTTTTTGGGGGTAAGGAAAGAACAGGTTCATAAGTAGACTCTTGAACTAACAAGGCCAAAATTGACCCTAGAATTGATCTTGATGGGATAGGTTTTGATTCAATAATTCTAGAATTGACCCCTATAAAATAGGTTCCAAGTTTTGCCTTGGAGCAGAATTGAACCAACCCATATTCACCTCTAACATTGAGATAAATCATATCAAACCCAACCAGTTAAGTAAACTGTGTAAATCCTAAGGGCTCGAAGATTCTAGCGTGATGAAGTCAATTAGTTAAGGAAACCATGTAAATCTCAATGGCTAAAAATTAAAGATATAATAGGTAAATTGAAAGAGGTCTAAGAAGCTTAAGTGAAAGTGATTCTCTTTGGGGGAGATGAAGAAAATAAAGATTAAAACAGAGTGGGGAAAAGAGAAAGAAAAGGAAAACGGTGAAAAAAGGGAGGAGAAGAAGAAGGAACAGAGAGAATTATAAAAACCCGGGGGGTGCTCTTCTCGTCTCACTCCTTAATCTCAATGAGCATTTGGATGGTCATGTCTTCACTTGGCCGATTACAGCGCTTGAGCACCATATTTTGCAGCTGAAGCAGCACGTGCTTTTTGAATTTTCAATAATTCTCGACTGAGATGGGCATCGGCTTCAGTGTTTACAAAACTGTATTCACACCGATTGTATAGCATTTTACACTGTGTATTGGGAGTATCTTCGTATTTATATATTTTTTTATATTCCTAATGCAAGACTATAAGGGGCTGTGCGGTGTGAGAATGGTCTTGTAAACACTAAAACCGATTTTGTCTTGATTCTTTAGTGACCTTAATGGAACCTTTCTGTGTATGATATTCTACCATTGGACTTGAAAATTCAAAAAGGAGAAAAAAACTGTTTGATAGCTTGAGCTTTCTCTGTATGATACCCTACGGATTTGAAAATTTAAAAAGGAGAAAAGAAAACAGTTTGATAGCTTCCTTTGTATCTAGATCTGAACCAAATCCGATTGGCTTACAGCCCTAGTCGTCAATGACTTGGCTTAACCTAATAGCCTTGAATTGAGTCCTTATTATAATGAAATTACTACAATGAAGATCGGATGTAATGGAAATTCCCTTGTAAGTATAATAATCATTCAATAAATATTCGAACGGAATTTGTTTTGAACGCCGGTTTATGAGGATTGAAGTCTGAAATACAGTAGCTTCTGATTAGGCCTATTAATGATACCTGAAATTTGATGGATCAATTCGATATTTTATCCAATTATTTTAGACTTGGATGATGGATAGAGTCAGATTAAACCTGAATCCAATCTAAGTCTATTAGAATTCAAATTTATATCTAAGGTTTTAAAATCCGACCAAATTTAGATGCAAGTTTTTAACAATCAGATTGGATTTGGATTTTACTAAATCCGATCAGAATCCAATTCATTTACAATCATACTTCTAACTTTATGACCTTTTGAGGTGGGCCTCTAAGCCATGATTAGTGAAAAATCCGGAGAGCCCAAATTGACTGTCAATTAGTTATTTTTTTGGGCTGTTTAGAGCTTCAACCTCTTCAGATAGATTATCCGAAGCACCATAGAGCAATTAAAACCACCTTAAAAGAACTTAATATTCAGCTCATCCTATCAAATGGGGGCCTGAATTATTATTATTATTGTAATGGATTACACAACAAGGTAACCCGTAACCTTGCCCCAATCCCTTAGACCCTTTTAAACAAGGTGAAGGCAATCCCAGATCTTCATTATAACCAACTAGCATCAGGGCCAGTGGTTTGATCGTTCAGTCCAAACAGATGACCCATTGCAATTTGAAAAAAAAAATTAAAAATTAATTATAATAAAAAATGATAAAAAAACCATTGTCTAAGTCGAATGGATCAATGATTCTATTTTCTAGCCAAATCAATGGATCACTAATCAAATCAATGATTTTTGGCAAAGGAACGGTTTAGGAGTGAAACAAAACCGATTATCTGAATAGTTTCTGGTTCAAATGGTCCCACCTGAGTGTTTTCATGATCCCAGCAGGGTAAGTATTGTTCTTTTTTCCTTTCATTTGTTTGTTAAGGTAAAATGTCATAGAAATTGCGTATATAATTTCAAACAACTCTAAAATTGTCAATCCTATGGGTTTATGGTATAGATCCAGTTAGTTGTTACACCCATCTAATCTCATTAAACTGTTAGTTGTGTAGAAGGATGAGATGCAAAAGCAAAGTAGAATTTTTATACACAATTATCTGTAAAGAAAAAAAAAAACTTAACTATTAAAAAACAGAATTTCTTAACACATTCATGGATCATCGTAAGTCACCGGTATGGCTCACCAGGACGTCGTTGAATAAAATTAGCCAAAAAAGAAAACAGAAGTAATTCTAGGCGATCAACAAAAGATATAACAGAGAGAGAGAGAGAGGGTTGTACCTTCTTCATCCGGTAAGCGTTGTGCTTCAGATCTCAACGCTACGAAGCAATGCAACACAGTAACAATGAGAAGAGCAGCCAACAACTTATATGGGTTCGCAACAATAGTTACTGAAACCATCTCCCTGTCACTACTGCCTCACCCTCTCAAACCCCCAATTGACCAAAAGTGAGGATCTTGTTGATGAAGTGGAAATAACTCAATAACAACAACGGGCACTCAACTTAGGTCTATGTTACAGAAACAACCCGAGAAGATGTGAATAAACGGACGAAACTTCTTACCAAAAGAAACGCTGAAAGAGGGAAAGTATCCAGGGGCTCAAGAATCAAGGATTTTTTTTATACGGTGATCTGCTACCAGCCTACCAATAAACACTCCTTGGGGAATAAATAACATATCGGCAATGATGGAGGTGCATGGCCCGTGGGGCAGTCTTCTCTGTAATCAACTGACAAGGCCAAATGTAAGGTCAAGGTCATCCCGTCGTCGTTGCCTAGTCGTCCCTGATATATAAATTTATTTGTTATCTATATCTTTTATATCTATATATTAAAATGTAATTTGTCAAATTGGTATTTTTCTTTGTGGGATCATTTATTAAAGCACATCTTATAGTTTTAGGAATTTACTAAAAGTTTGTGTTTTACTAAATTTCTCATTAGGTGACTGTGGAAAATGATAGTTGTGACCCTAATGTTCATTTGAATGAATTTAATTAAATAAAAATAAAAATAAAATAATATTATTGTCCCTAGTAAGTTATAAGTAAACATGAGCAACCACTCTATTTGGCTCTTTTTGTTCAATTTTTTTTGTGTGAAAAAGTGTTAGGGGCGTTTTAATAAAATGAAAAGTACTGCTCGGATTGGAAGGAATACAAATACAAATATATATAGTACAAATATGTACAAAATAATGTGAAACTATAGGGTGTTCTAGAAAATTACCCTTTGTTAATTTTAAACTTGAACACAATAACTCGATTGGTAAATCACCATTAGGACTTTTATCTCTCTTTACTAAATCATCATTAGCTTTCTCTCTCTCTACCATTAACTCTTTTAATTATCTCTCATCATTAACTCATCATGCCACTAATTCTCTCTCCTCTCTATTATTTCATTAAATTAAACCAAGTTCATTAATTTTATCTATATTTATATCCATTTCAATTTAATTATAATTATATATATATATATATTAAATTATAATTATTAATAAAATTAATTATATTGAAATGGAGATATTCAATGATATATTATTAATTAGGCTAAATAATCTACTTTCATGAAAAAAGATATTTAATTTTAAATTAATTAATCAAGTAACTTACATTTCAGAATAAGTTCTTTACTTCACTCAACAAATAAAAGTAATGTTTTAAGACTTCAACAGAACAATGGAACTGTTCAACGTTTTTTTTGGTACTAATCAACAACGCCTGAATCCACTTTGGTATGGGTCAATGATTCAATTGTCCGGGTTAGAGGAGTCAAACCGTGACACATCATTGATTATCCATATGTATATAATATAATATAATATAATATAATATAATATAATATAATATAATATAGTATAATATAATTATAGTTATGTGTGTGTGCACACTATTTTTATGAATAGTAAAACATCACATCATTAACCATTTTGATATTTATTCACAACTTTTCTTTTAGAGATGATGATAGTGGGACTTGAATCCACTTCTTTGCTGGGACAAATCATCCAATGTACAACTAAGCTATCCCTCAGTTAACTGTTGAACCTGGGAACCAAAAGGGAATCAGGTTTTTAACCTGTTGAAAATAAATCAGGTTTTAAGATCCAACCTCGGGTTTTAAAATGCAAATGGAAAGACTTAAAACTAAGATCTCATGGTTATGTGTGTTAACATTAAACTATCAAACCATCATTCATTATATGCTTATTTATTTATATGTATTGATTAAATATGTATGTATTTTAATAAAACACAAGTAACAAGACTTAAACCTTGGTTATTTATGCTAAAAAGCAACATATTAACCATTTAGTAGGCATAATATTTGAGAAATAAATTAAAAAATCTATTTTATTTTTTGTAACTTACAATCAAATTGCTTCACTCCTGACCCGCAAAGCTTTCTGGTTTTGTGTCGGATCTAAGTCTTAAAACACATTATAAAACCAGTAGTTTTAGGTATGGGTCAATGGTTCAATCGTCCGGGTTAGAGGAGTCAAACCGTGACACATCATTGATTATAATATAATATCATATAATATAATATAATATAATATAATATAATATAATATAATATAATATAATATAATATAATATAATATAATATAATATAATATAATATAATTATAGTTATATGTGTGTACACTATTTTATGTCTAATTTGTACTTTTATTATAGATTTCAATTATTATAAACAAAAGATACAAAAATGGAAATTTGAAGCCAAAAATAGAGTTTTCTTTTTGTATAGTGGAACCGCAATGATCACAAAAAGTTATCCAAACTATAAAAAAGGTCACCCAAATCAAACAACCGAGCACAAATTTAAGTCCTCTAAACATTTTCAGTGATTGAATGGTTAGGTCAAAAGGGTCAATTATTCAACTACTTACCTCGAACAGGTTCGGACCAAACAAACAATCTTAGACTAAAATAGTGGGTTTTAGAAAACTTGGAATTAGTGGTTTATAGAATTGTTATATGGGGTTTTTTATAATTTTACCTAAAAAATAATATAAAATTAATAACAAATCAATAAATTTTAAATATTAATAAAAAATTTATCATTAAGATACAAAAAACTAATACAAATTTATCTAGAACATAGGAAATTGTTCATTCTAATTAATTAAAGCATAGCTTGGATTGTGACTGGCTAAACTAGACTTAACCTAAAAAATAATGCTTGAAATAGACTTAGATAGTCACAACTTAATTGGAAATTTCATAGAACTCCTTTCTCAATTTTGGTTAATGAGGGCCATGCGTTGCACGAATCCCAACTAACATATATTATATATGATAGGGATTAACTGGTGGGGATAGATAGGGATATATGACAATCATTCGCCCTTTATACACCTCATCCTACAGGGATCCTTGCTTAGTGTAATTATTTTATTTTTAATGCTTTTTAGAAAGAAGTAGAATCGAAAACAAAATGAATATGACATCTTAAAAAGTAGCAGGAAGTGGGGATCTTCATGGGGATAGAGAAACCCTTGTCTCCATTGGTGAGGATGGTGAGAAGGATGAGGAATATATTTGGATATATTTTGATAAGGTTGTAAATTGTAGTTATTTTATTTTTAATATTTTTTGAAATGAAGTAAATAAAAACCAAATGAATTTGACATGATAAAAGAATAACAGGGAGTGGGGACCTTCATGGGGATGGGGGTAACCCTTGTCCCCATTGATGAGAATGTTGAAAAGGATGAAGAATATATTTGAATCTATTTTGATAAGATTATAAATTGTAATTATTTTATTTTTAAAATTTTTTGAAGTAGAATCGAAAACAAAATGAATTTGATATCATATAAAAATAACAGGGAGTGGGAAACTCCATGCGGATGGGGACGGGGAAACCCTTGTCCCAATTGGTGAGGATGGTGAATAGGATGAGGTTTGTCTCGGGGACAGGGACGGGCCCATCCCATTGCCTTTCCTAGGGACAGAGCAGCAGACATGCACATGCACGGTGTCTATTGACCTTATACCACTGAGAGCTTGCAGCTGTTAGCTAGGTTTATCCAATTGACTTTCCTAGGGACGGAGTAGCAGGCAAGCACATGCATGGGGTATATTGACCTTATACCACTGAGAGCTTAATTGCTGTTAGGTAGTAGGTTCATTGACCTTATACAGTACTGAGAGCTTGTAGTTAGGTAGGTTCGACCCCATGACTCTATATTTGGAGGGACGCTATCTAACCAATAACCATCTCGGTTATGGGTCCCTAATATGACTCTATGCTCTATAGAATGTAATAAAATATCTTTGTTTTTACGATTATGGGTGCAAGTTGGGTCAGGTTAGGCTGGGTTGACGTCCACCTGTACAATACCTGTATATTCTTCCTGCATATTCAGTGCCGCTCACAACTCATTACAGCTCATTACAGTTCATCATTTAGTTAGTTATTAGTTTTATATTATTCTTTTATTTTATAGGGTGAGGTGGCAAGTTTGTTAGAGAGTTTGTTATTTTCTACATCATTCTTTTTTGTCAAATTATATATATATGTACCTGCACAACTCAGACCATCCAGGTATGGCTTTGGTCACTGCACCTTTAACTGATAAGAACTTTTTAGCCTGGAGTAGATCTGTTAAAATTGCTCTAGGAGCTAAAATGAAGTTGGGACTTATAGATAGGAGTTATAAGGTACCAGAAAAGGATTCACCAATTTATGATCAATGGAATAAGGTTAACTGTATGGTAACCTCCTGGATTTTAAACTCAATATCAAAGGACCTAGTAGAAGCCTTCTTATACACTTCTAATGCAAGAGAGCTTTGGTGTGAATTAGAGGAAAGGTATGGAGAGAGTAATGGACCTCTTCTCTACCAAATACAGAGGGAAATTAGTTCCATTACTCAGGGAACGATGACTGTTACACAGTATTATACTAGACTTAAGAAACTTTGGGATGAGTTTACTGTTTTAATGCCAATACCTGAATGCACATGTGGATCTACAAAGACAGTAGCATCTCACATCTTTTAATCGTCTGATGCAATTTCTAATGGGGTTGAATGATATTTATGATCATAATAGAAGTCAAATTTTACTAATGGATCCCTTGCCCTCAGTCAAYAAAGCATACTCAATGATAACAAGGGTTGAGAAGCAGAAGGAGGTTCAAGTTTCTTATGTGGAACCTAATGAGAATGCAGCTATGCTAGCTAGAACACAGATGCCTAGGAAGGATGGAGGAAACAAGGGAAATACAAAGAGAAATGAAGTGACCAAAGAAGAGAAGAAGCAGCAATATTGAACTCACTGCAACACTAATGATCATCTCAATGAATCATGCTTCAAGCTTATTGGATATCCAGACTRGTACAAGCAACTCAGAGACTAGAAGAGAAAGGAGTCAGGGACAAGAAATGAAATAGGAGGAAAATATGCAGCAAACTTGGTGGATACACCAAACTACTGCAGGAAAATGACTTGACCAGAATGCAAGGCTTGCAAATTTAATTCAGCAGGAGCTTATTAAACTGATGAAAGGGAAGATGCCTGCAACTGCGAATATGGTGAATTTTGCACATCTTGAAGACTGTGCAGGTACTGTTCTAAATCCTGAACTTAATTTTGCTTTAAATACTGTGGATTTGTTTAGATCAGGAACCTGGATAGTAGACACTGGGGCATCTAATTACATGTGCACAGACATTTCACTTTTACATAAGCCAACAATTATAAGCCACATGACACCTGTGTATCTTCCAGATGGAACCATAAACTTAGTGAAACACACTGGAACTGTCCAATTGACCCCAAGAATCTGTCTCACAAATGTTTTGCATGTACCTAGCTTTAAATTTAATCTGCTATCAGTTAGTAGAGCTACAAAGAGTGCAAACCTGAAATTTCTTTTTTTACCTACACACTGTTTGCTGCAGGACCAGCAGAGTGAAGAGGTATTGGCRGTGGGAAAATCAGTAGGAAATCTTTATTTCCTAGATACAAAGTCTTTTCTTCCAAGCACTATATAGAAATATGCCTTTCCTTCATGTAATTCTATTTCATTACCATCTTTACCTTTGCATTGTAATGCAGTTACGAATTCAGGAATAAAGTTAAAGGACAAAGCCAACTCTATGTCACTTTGGCATAAGAGGTTTGGCCATGCTTCAGTTAATGTAGCATTTGAAAATTCTGAATTCTTACACTAAACAATCTTTATTGCCCTGTGATGTATGTTCCTTTTCTAAACAGCATAGATTGCCATTTCCTACTAGTCATATTCATACCAATAAACCTTTTGAATTAGTTCACTTAKACWTGTGGGGACCYTACAAACATGCATCATTGACTGGTTCTCATTATATGTTAACAGTAGTGGATGACTACAGCAGGGCAACTTGGACTTTCTTGTTAAAACACAAGAGTCAAACTTTTCAAACTTTAGTGCAATTTAWCATTATGGTTGAAACTCAGTTTGAAACAAAGATAAAATGTTTTCAATCAGACAATGGAACTGAGTTTTTAAGCAATGAATTTCAAAGTCTTTTACTTGAGAAAGGAATTTTACATCAAAAGTCATGTGTATATACCCCTCAACAAAATGGTGTAGTTGAAAKGAAGCATAAGCACCTATTGCAAGTTGCAAGGGCACTTATGTTTCAATCAAACTTACCAAGAAAHTTTTGGGGATATTCTTTGCTTATGGCAACTTTCAAAATTAACAGATTGCCAATTGAAATTCTTGATTGGAAGACACCTTTTGAGATTTTATATAACAAAGCACTAGAGTATCATATGTTAAAGGTTTTTGGTTGCCTCTGCTATGCAACAAATACTAAACCAGCAAAAGATAAATTTTCAACTAGAGCCTTTAAATGTGTTTTCATAGGCTATCAGCCTGGACAAAAGGCTTACAAAGTGTATGATTTAACTTCCAAACAAGTTTTTACCTCTAGGGATGTCATCTTCTTTGAAAATGTTTTCCCTTTTAAACAAGAAACAGATTCCATCTTGCCTTTGCCCATGTCAACTGCTGACAGTGAACATGTATTTGAAGAATCTGTTATTCTAGAACCAATTTCACAGCCTGAACCTTCATCACCTGCACCTGATCTTACTCCTGATTTGGATTTAGAACTTACTGACCATTCAACACCAGACCAAATATCAGATGTTGAACTTGCAATTGAAATGCTACCACTTCAACCTGATCTAGACTTTCAACAAACCAGACACAGTACTAGGATTAGGAATAAGCCAACCTGGATGAAAGACTTTGTTACTAATCTATCTTTTACTGATCCAACTGCTACCAGTACTTACTCAGAACCACACCCACTAGTTCCAAACACACCCCTCAGACTTTTCCTTTCATTCACTCACCACTGTTTACATGTGATTACTTGTCCTTTCTAGCAAATGTTACAACTATTCAGGAACCAAAATCTTACAAAGAAGCCAGTGTTAAAGCAGAATGGGTGCAGGCAATGAACAAGGAATTATAGGCTTTAGAATCAAACCAAACCTGGGATTTGATGCCATTACCTGCAGGGAAGAAACCTATTAGCTCTAAATGGGTCTATAAGGTGAAATTGAAACCAGATGGGACAGTTGACAGATGCAAGGCAAGATTGGTGGCCAAAAGGTACAATCAAGTTGCTGGGGTAGACTATTTTGAAAGCTTTTCTCTAGTAGCCAAGCTGGTTACTGTCAGAATTTATTTAGATGTGGCAACTGCATTTTCTTGGCCAATTCACCAGTTGGATATAAATAACGCTTTCTTGCATGGATTTCTCATAGAAGAAGCTTATATTTGGCCTCCAGAAGGGTATACAAAGGCTAAAGAAGGAGAAGTTTGCAAGTTAAGGAGATCTCTTTATGGCCTTAAACAGGCTTCCAGAGAATGGAATTCAGAATTTTGCAAGAAATTGCAAAYTTATGGTTTTCTGCAATCACARCATGATCATTGCCTTTTTACTTTGAAATCTYCCAMMTATTTTCTAGCTCTACTTGTGTACGTGGATGATGTTTTAATTATAGGAACTTGTGAAGAGCAGATCTTAGTTGTGAAGAAGTTTTTGGATACTGAATTCACCATCAAAGATCTTGGTCTTGCAAGATACTTCTTGGGAATTGAGATTGCACGCAGTGATACTGGCACTTATATTAATCAGAGAAAGTATGCCTTAGATATTGTTATAGATGTTGGATTATTGGGTGCCAAGCCTACTGCAAGTCCTCTACCTAAAGGCCATAAATTCTCTTCTCAAGCAGGAGATCTTTTACTTGATCCTAACAAATATCGCAGATTTGTGGGAAGATTATTGTATTTGAATCTTACTTGACCGGATTTGACTTATGCAGTTCAACAATTAAGTCAATTCGTTAATTTACTCTGCAAAAGCCACTGAGAAGCAGCTCTACATGTTGTTAAATACTTAAAGGGCAAACTCAGTAAGGGTCTTTACTTTCCTGTCCAGAATTCTTTCAAGTTACAAGCATTCAATGATGCTGACTGGGCTTCCTGCATTGACACTCGTCGTTCACTCACTGGATTCTGTATTTATCTTGGTCACTCTCTTATCTCATGGAAAATGAAAAAACAAACCACAGTGTCACGTTCTTCAGCAGAGGCTGAATACCGCGGCATGGCTTCCACAGTCTGTGAGTTGCAATGGATAACTTATATTCTAAAAGATTTGCAAATTCCACTTCACCTTCTCATCCTTTGTGGTGTGACAATCAGGCCGCCCTTCATATCACTACCAACCCCGTTTTCCATGAGAGAACCAAACATTTGGAGATTGACTGCCACTTGGTTCGCAATCAATTCAAATAGGGATTTGTTCATCCTCAACACATCTCTACTAAACAGCAAGTGGCAGACATATTTACCAAAGCTTTAGCTCCTCCTCAATTTCATTTGACGCTGTCCAAGTTGGGCATGATGGATTTCCATCACAGTCCAACT